TCCTTTTTAGGAATATTTTATGCAAAACAAGTGTGCAAAGATGGAAATAAGAGGGGGTATTTTTTAAAAATTCATTCTAATTAGTCGTACATGATATCAGAATGCATTTTGGCACATTGTACGTAAATAGAGTATAACTTTTCTTCTGGTTGTACATTATGTAGTCATATATGCACATAGGGTAATGATGTCTGATTTATTCCACCCTCCTTCCTACCTCCATAGCCCCTCCCCTCCTTTCACTCCCCCACTGTCTAATCCAAAGTACCTCTATTTTTCCCTAGCACCACACCACCATTATGAATTGGCATCTGCATATCAGAGAAAAAATTAGGTAGGCCTTTGGTTTGGGGATTGCCAGCTCCACCCATGTACCTTCAAATATCAAAATTTCATTCTTTTTTAAGGTTGAGTAATATTGCATTGTGTAGATATACTACATTTTCTTTATCCATTCATCTGTTAAAGGCCATCTAGCTTGGTCCCTTAGTTTGGCTATTGTGAATTGAGCTGCTATCAACATTGATGTGACAACATCACTGTAGTATGCTGATTTTAAGTACTTTGGATAAAAATGAGGAGTGCGATAACTGGGTCAAATGGTAGTTCCATTCCAAGTTTTCTGAGGAATCTCCATACTGCTTTCCATTTGGTTGTACCAATTTGCAGTCCCACCAACAATTTAAGAGTGTGCCTTTTCCCGCACATCCTTGGCAACATTTATTGTTGCTTGTATTCTTGATAATTGCCATTCTGACTGGAGTTAAATGAAATCTTGGAAGCACATTCACAATCCATGAGTTGTAATCAGGAGAGCTCAGACTTTTTTATTTTATCTTTATGTGGTGCGGAGGATCAAACCCAGCGCCCCGCGCATGCCAGGCGAGCGCGCTACTGCTTGAGCCACGAGCCCAGCCCATTAGATGAAATCTTAATAGAATAGTTTTGATTTTTATCTCTCCAATTGGTAGTGATATTTTTAATTTTATTAAGAAATATGAATGCAGTAATCCTTCCTTATTCTCAAGGTGATATATTCCAAGACACTCAGTGGATGCTTGAAACCAAGAATAGTACTGAAATACATATGTACAATGTGTTTTCCCTATACACGCATACCTGTCTATGATAAGGTTTAACTTATTAATTAGACATAGTAAGATATTAACAATAATTAATTAGTAAAATAGAACAATTACTGCATTAAATAAAATAGGGGTTACTTAAATATCAAGCACTAGAATATCATGACAATTGATCTAAAAACTAAGGCAGCCACCAAGTAATTAACGGGCAGGTATCCTATACAGTGTGAGCGTGCTGGACAAAGGGACAATGTTTCCTATCCTGAAGGAGATGGAACAAAGCTTTCATCATGCTACTCAAAATGGTACACAGTTTGAAACCAATTAACTACTTATTTCTATAATTTTCCATTCAATATTTTTGGACCAGGGTTGACTGGGAGTAACTGAAACCTTAGAAATTGAAATTGCAGAAAAGTGGGGACCACTATAACTGATATTTATTGAGAGGTTATTTTATACCACTGTTCTAAACTTTTTCCAAGCACTTCCTTAATGATCACAAAAATTCCTCAAGATACTACTACTGTTATCGTGATTTATGTTTTCAGTTTAGGAAAATAAGATTTAACATGTTAGCAATTTATGCAGGATAAATATGAATCAGGGTCTCATTCTTGAGTCTGTCAGCTCTAGATCCTGGCAAGTCAGCCCCTAGGACCCCACTCACTCACTTGTCCCGTGTCTTTTTTCTTTTGGGGATTGAATCCAGAGGTGTTTTTGCAACTGAACTACATCTCCAGTCCTTTTTATTTTTTGAGACGGTTTCTCCCTAAGTTACTCATGCTGGCCTCCAACTTGTGATCCCCCTTCAACAGCCTCCCCAGTAGCTGGAATTACACACATATCACCATGTCTGGCCTTCTCACATCTAATAAATATAAGATTCAGGATATGACTCTGAGTCCTTCAGCTCTCGATGCTGAAGAGTTGGCCCCTAAGATCCATGTACTTTTCCCACTAATATAAGTGGAAACTGAAAATCATCCAAATGTTCAGCAATAGAGGCACACATTGTGAACATCATTAGAAATCACATGACAGAAAAAAAGTGTATCACTGTTGAAAAGGGACTCAGTAATTATATAATGAGAACCTGAACTTGCAAAAAGAGTTTTGGTGTGAGACATTTTGGTTGAATTCTAAGAATCTCACTTTCAAGTCCCTTTCACTTAAGGTGAAAACAGTTTCATTCTGTGTCCAAACTTTGAAATAAGCTGAGTCACTTCAAATAAAAAAATTAATTTTGAAAGCTGTAAGACACTAAGAATTGTGAACCAGAAGTTTTACCACATGGCTCTGATATTTTAGCTGAGGAGTGGAACCGTACACAGCCCTTAGTTTATGAAGTGCAAAGATGCAATGTAAATTCAAACTGTCAATGTGGGTTTTCTCATGCTGTTAGTTTGGTATTAGCTGTTGCTATAATTTAGAGTCTTATCTTAAGTCCCAATCACTGCTTCTCACTCACTGAAAAATGTGCACCCAAATAATAACTTTAAAATGGGATTGAATCTAATGGCAGACCTTGAAGTAACCTACAAAATGCTATACATTGTTCATTTATCAGAGATCATTCTGAAGAAGGATGCTTATAAAGATTGCTGAGAGAAGAAAAACCATCTTCCAGCAGGTTCACCTTGGACAAAGGCTCAGTCCTTCAGCCAGTCTCCCTGATTCCTCTTCTTGTTTGGTTTTCTCTAGATTGCTGACACCAATTTTAGCAGGAAATCCTGATAAGCCAGTTTGGTAACAAGGCCCCATCCTATATATCCAATCAAGTTCATCTACTTTCACCCCTGGCATCTAATCAAGCTCTGCTTCCTCTTCACCCTTGAGATTAACCACATTACTCCTACTAATTTTCTATCCACTAACTCTCTCATCTGCCCCTTTGGCTGTTGTATTGAAAGTTAAGTTCAATAGTCTCTCCCCTATTGCAATAATCTTCAAAAAAATCTGTCTTACTACTTTTAACAAGTTATTGGTAAATAGATTTTCAACACCTTAACATCACAAAAAAATGTCAAAAATCCCAGAATGGACAATGAGGAACATGGAAAAATGCTGAGAATTTAATGTCAGGGTCATCCCTATTGCTAATTACAGTAGGTGTTGATTCACCCCTGAACTCTTCACAGGGAAATTCGTCTTGAATTATGAGGTTTTGGACTATGGAAGGAATCAGAACTGCATCCCTTGCTTACCATATAATTGTCTAACACAAATATAGGAAATAATCTGAAAGAAGATGTGCCAGAATTTTTGGCGGTGCCTTTCTAGATACCTGTTTTGACAATGCAATCTGTTCTTCCTATCTGAAGATTCCATACATGCAAATTCTCCTACTAGCTAAAATGTATTGATCCTTGTAATCAATGCTTTGTGACCACATATGCAGCAAGGGAAAAAATTTGAGTCACCAGATGTGCATGTTCACAGCTGAGGTTGAACAAGGCGATAATCTACCCTCTGGTTTCAGCTTTCATACTAATAGCAAGTGTTCTGCTTTCCATATATTTAGTGTGACATTCTTTACAATTCTGTGCTTTTTCTTGGTGTTTTTCCATTTAAAATGATCTCCAAAAATGTAGTGCAGAAGTGCTGTCTAGGGTTCCTAAGCAGACTGTGATGTGCCTCATGTAGAAATATGTGTTACACAAACTTCCTTTGGGCATGAATTATAGTGTGAGTGGCTGTAGATTTAATGATTAACATTAAATACATATTAATCATTCAATACATATTACATAAGGTGTCTTTTAAAACAACACACAAAATGGTCATGTATTGAAAAAAATATATACTCTTGATTACTCTCCAGGAACCTAACCCTGTGTTTTCCCTATGAGGTCTGGTATAGTGTTCACTAATTCAGAATTCATGGCAATTTTTTTAGGACATAATTAATCATTAGAATTGCCTTATGTAATAATTATTACTTATGTAATAAAAGTGCATTATTTCTGAAAATCAGGTTGTATGTTGTTTTAGTCAGCTTTTTGGCTGCTGTGATTTAAGGACCCAACCAGAACAATTGTGGAGGAGGAAAAGTTTATTTAAGGGCTCTTGGTTTGGGAAGTCTTAGCCCATAGAAGTCTGGCTCCATTTCTCTGGGCTTGAGATGAGGCTGAACATCATTGTGGGAGTGTGGCTGAGGGAAGCAAAAAGAGACAGACTCCACTCTCCAGATACAAAATATATACCCCATAGCCAAGCCTGCCTTGAACCACTTCCTCCAGCCACACCCCACCTGCCTCCAGTCCCACTCAGTTAATCCCATCAAGGATTAATTCACTGATTGTGTTGAGACTCTCACAATCCAATCATTTCTCCTCTTAACCTTCTTGCATTGTCTCACATGTGACCTTTTGGGGGACATCTCACATCTGAACCATAACATGTAGCGGCACAGGTCCACCTGAAGATGGAATCCAGAGGAAAGAAGATGGTTGTGGACTGAGCCTAGGTAGAATGTTCAACCTCAGCCTTCCTCAGAGGTCGGAGCTGTTACAGTCATCCCTCAGCTGGGAAGTGAGGCTCAGGGGTGGAACTTGTCTCTGTCAAATGACCAGGCAGAACCTGGACCAGTGTTTGTCATTGAAGTTGGAATGGACCATGATTATAAATGCATGCTTCTAGTGCATTTTATCAGTGTAGAAAATTAAATAAAGAGATGTTGTGCTGTCTTCTGTTGAGTAGCTGGCAAAGAATAGAATGAGCTACAGGACCCAAAGCCTATGTCCTGTCCGCCTCATCCACTCACAAAAGGAAAGGAGAACTGACTCTGTACTTGGGTGGCCTCCAGGGTATCGGGTCACTGCCCATGTACTTCTAACAGCTGACTTGGAATTGCCCTCCTCCAGTCCAGAGGCTGTTATGTTTTGTCAGCTGATTTCTTCTCTCTCTTTGCAGTTCCACCTCTGAAAGAGCTCAGTCACCATGAATGTAAGTGAATTCCGGAGGAGAGGGAAAGAAATGGTGGATTACGTGGCTGACTACTTGGAAGGCATCGAGGGGCGCCCCGTCTACCCTAATGTGGAGCCTGGCTACCTGCGGCCCCTGATCCCTACTGAGGCTCCCCAGGAGCCAGAAGCATTTGAGGACGTTATCAATGACATTGAAAAGATAATCATGCCAGGGGTAAGTGTATATCCAAAGTCAGAGAAGAGGAAAGCTAGTGCTAATGTAGCACCTACTGGACGCTGTGCAATTCACATATATTATTTCCAAGAATTCTCAGAACAGGTTAGAGAGAAATTTCTATCATTTTTATCTTATATCAGAGGCAACTGAATCTCAAGAGATTAGGTGCTCCACTTAAGTTCACACATCTAGTAAATGGGGGGAGCTTGGGTGCCAATCCAGATCATGCAGACTCCAAGTATCACAAGTGGGCTATCTTCTGAGGCTCAGTCCCTGCCGCAAGACACTTGGTACCTGCAGTGTGTTATCATATGCTGGTAAGAGGAAACAAGTCCCTGATTTACTGATTGCAACTAATTAATTGCCCCAAACAAAGCATACTCCTATCATTGTTGTGCTCACCAAATGATAGATCATATGGATAGAGAAAAAAATTTGTTCATTTTGTTTGAGTGGGCAACATGACACTGCTTCACTCCAGAGAGTGCAGATCAGCCCAGCCCCAAAGAAGCAGGACCTGTTGCCATCCCTGATACCCAGTGAGGGGAGCAGAGGGTTGGCATGAGACCTCATTTCAGATCTGTGTTCCTACAGTATGATTTTCCCCATCAAGGAATTCATCTCAAAGCCCTTGAATTACTGTGGTTCTCTGAACAGGCCGGCCTCCCCCTGGCACATGGATGAGGATGGTCAAACCTGTCATCCTGTGTGGCTACTTTAATTTCCACAAACAATATGCAAAGTCCTAGTCTGGCACTGGTGGCGTTGGCAGATGGATCCCAACCCTCTGCGCTTCTGTGGTTGCAAGATCAATAAAAAGCAAATGTATTAGACACAGAGCAGGAGGAATCTAGGATCATTGAGATTCAGTCCCTCATATCAGACAGAATGCAGAGGCCCTGAGGTGGACCCAGGTCCAGGGCCTGGGGGCTGAGACTTAGGTCCTCAACTTCAGAGACAGTTCCTTGAAACAGGGCACTTCTTATGGCACCCTCCTTTCATAATACATAAAACCCAGACAGAGGAGTATGGGAGGGGGACATTAAAGTCCTCCTGCTTGACTAGACAGGAGTATTTACTGCTCAGAGCAAAGCTGGGAAACACATGGCTGTGGGGCTGGGTCCCTGGGGGTAGTTCCAGGCCTCCCTGTTGCAGGTCTGTGGTTGCAGGGAAAGTAGGTGAGTGCTCTGCTCTAAGTAGAGAGTGAGATTGGGACCATCAGCCCAATGTGGTTGTGATTCTTAGCAGAGAGTGAAGCAAAAAAGTACATGTCCCAGTCAGGAACGACTCTTGCCTTCCCCAGGTTTCCAGAAGCAGGTAAGGGGGGAAGAGAGCTGGAAGCAGTGTGGGGCTTCTTGTTCCCTGAAGGGAGGCTAAGACCCCAGGCCACAGTCTTACTGTCATGGGCCCTGGGAACTTGTACCTTTTTAGGCTCCTTTCTTCATAGAAATATGCAAAATTAAGCTGAATATATTAGTGTTATAGGTACATTTTTTCCCCTTTTGACTAGCAAGTTCACATTTTTTTCTGATCTTAAAAGAAAGCATGTCCTGGCCCCTAAATCTTTTGTGGACCCCCAGTCTGCTGTAATGAATGCAGCATTTCACCTGTGCAGCTCCTCATGGCTCTAAGATTCACTGTCACCTTCCACATTAGAACCTCAGCCCAAATGCACTAAGCATCTTCCCCTCCCTCTCTCCCTTCATGGATCCCTAGTCCTGGCTGATTTGGAAGTGTCCATAGTTTCAGTGGGACCTATGGAACACTCTCAGCTCTTGGTGAGCTTTCTTAGTCAACTACCTTCCCAATCAAGATTTCTCATGCCACATCTTGGACATTATATACTTAATAACTAGTTTCATGGAGAAAATTAATATTTGCATCTTTGTCCAGACTGTATGAAATGATGTCTCAGTCAGGTTTCTGTCACTATAACAAACACCTGAGATAATCATTTTATAAAGAGAAAAGGTTTGTTTTACATCACAGCCTCATATGTTTCAATTCACGGTCAGTCGGTCCTATTGCTTTAGGTCTGTGGTGAAGTAGCACATCATGTGGGGGAGCACATGGTGGAGCAAAAAACCACTCATCTCATGGCTGAAAGAGAAAACAGGAAGGGACCAAGGTCCCACACTCCCCTTCATGGGCATAACTTCAATGACCTAAAGACTTCCTTCTAGGCCTTACCTCCTAAGGGCTCCACCACCTTCCAATAGCACCACCCTGGGGAGTGAGCTGCTAACACAGGAGCCTTTGGGGAAAACTTAAGAACCAAACTCTAGCAGCGGGTCAGAACAAAGGCTGTGCCTACTTAGGTGGCTTCAACGACATTGATTTCTCACAGCTCTAGAGGCTGGAAGCCTGAGATCAAGGTGTTAGGTTCTGGGAGGCCCTCTTCCTGGGTAACAGAAGACTTCAGATATTCTCACATGGAGGAAGAGAGCTAACTCTCTGGTCTCTTCTCAGAAAAGCCCTAATCCTGTCAGGAGGACTCACTGCCATCATTTGATGGGTTGGAGTTTCAACCTGTGAATTTGGTGTGGGCGGGGGAGGGGGGAGAAACATTCAATCCATGGCCACCAATGTTGGCTTGAGGTGGCTTCCTTGCTACTCTGGCTCCCAGCACCCCTGGGCCCCTAAGGGTACTAACTAGGTCACAGAATGGTGACTGTCAGTTTATGGACCTCCTCCTCTTGTCCACCTTGAGCTTTTCCTCTGTGCCTAATTCAGGTCTGGCACAGAGCAGGTGTTTCCTTGGACTGGAATGGAGGAAGGCAGGCAGCTGGGGTTCAGTGGCCAGTCTGAGGGACGGAGGGGGCAGGGAGTATGCCAGAGGGATGCTTGGCAGGAGGGACTGGTTTGTACAGGAGAGAGTTAGGAGGCGGCCGTGAGACAAGATGTGTGTTTGGGATCTGACCGAAGAAACCTAAAAAATCAGAAATTAAAAAAAAAAAAAAGAGAGAGAGATTTAGATTTGATTTTTTAGAGCCCTCAAGAGAACAGTGCCTTCTCTGACCAGACACCCTGCTAAGAACTTAAAACACGAGGCCATTTTTAGAGACTTCACTTGTTATGGCTGTTTCATTTTAACCAGTGATAATGATGTTCCATTTTTACTTTAAGGATATAGTATTTCCTTCTAACCTAGCAAATATATACAAATATAAAATAAAAAGAGTTCCTTTACTGTAGTATCAGGTGAAACGTAGATGCTACAAAATGTTTGGAGGAAGGTCTTAGGATGACTGAAATTGAAGACATGCATCCAAGCCAAGCTCAGATGCTCCACCAGCCAGGAGCACAGAGGGCACCTGAGTCCCTGCTCCTGGTGTGGCCTGCTTCCCCTCTCCCCTGAGTAATTGCTCCGCCTTTCCACAGGTGACCCACTGGCACAGCCCCTATTTCTTCGCCTACTTCCCCACGGCCAGCTCGTACCCATCCATGCTCGCAGACATGCTGTGTGGAGCCGTCGGCTGCATAGGCTTCTCTTGGGTGAGTGTCCTGGTGATCCTCGGGGGGCAGTCCCTGTATAGGGAGATGGCCTCTGTATACACAGGACATGAGCAGATGGCTGTGCTGCCTGTGGGCTGCAGGTCATTTTGCAGGGAGGAGGAAAGGATTAGCTCCAAGAGGGTGCCTTTAAAGGAGGGAGATTTCCAATGGGGAGAAGTTGACAGAGAAGCAAGAGTGCTTTATGGAAAGGTCTCCACAACCTGAGGTCAATCCTACACACTGATGTTTTTTATAAGCATTTAGTTTAAATTAAAACCACAGCCCAAGGCTGGGAATCTGCATTTCCCTAAAACAGACAAGAGGATTTCTACACATTCCAACGTTTGAGACCGATACTGCCCCTGTCTCATTCCATCTGCCTTTCCCCAGGGCTACTGCCCCAAGAAAGGCCCCAGCCCAGCAGATGGGCCCAGTGTGCAGTGTGCGGGTGTCTGGAAATGGGCCCATTGCCTGCATGATGGCCACTAGTCTCATCTATCTGGCATAAGATGCCTAGAAAGTTCCTTGCTCAGAAAGCAGTAAGCCTGGCTCTTCCTGTGGTTCTCTGCACCAGCACAGAGCTTCAGGGAAGATTCCTTTCAAAATTCAGAGAGGTCAGAAGCAAAAATTCCTGCTGACCATCACTGGGCCCAGGGATGCCCATGCTGTGAGGAGTTCTACCAAACTTGGAGTCTGTCTCGGACCTTCTAAGTCTAGAGTGTTCTCCTGATCTGTGCCTGGGAGTGGATGGCCTTCTGTATATTAACTCATGTTGAGGGCCTGGGATACTGAAAGGAGAGGCTGATTTTTTTTTTCAATTCACAGCACCAAGAAGCAGGGCTCAGCTCAGCTGGTGGCTTTATCTACTCAGCACCAATTGTTCTTTCGACTGGAGGTCAGCAGGTGCTGGTGCTGGGTCAGCAGGTGCTGGTGCTGGGTCAGCAGGTGCTGGGCCAACAGGAAGGGCTGATGAGGTTCATCCAGTTCCTACCACAGCTGACTGCATTGCTCCTCTGTTGAGAACCCGGGCTGCCTTCCTTGTGAGTCATAGCTGGCCCCGGGCACTAGCAGTGTAACCAGGCCTGGCACAGCCTCTTCGAAAGAACATTTTCTTTTCATTAGATAGTGTAGCAAGTTTTGTGTGCTTCTGCTAGTCCCAAGCTTTCTGTTCCTCCAGGGCGACTTGGCACATCAATCTCCAATTATATCTGTTCTTTCTAGGATAGTCTGATTCTCTTGGGCCTTTGAAGGGGTACATCCCTGTCTTGGAGGCTGTGTTGCCTGAAAGCTATAGTTCCTATCAGGGAGTACATCTTCCTATGCCTGAATCTAAATTAAGTCAGGATGGGGTATAACCTACCAGGATGGAGCTGACCTGACCAGCAGGGAGAAGGACCTCACTTCTTTTTATGCAACGCATCATCATGCTGATGTACACAGGGAGACATGAGAACACCCTTAGCACCACATTTGGGTCCTTTACGTGGAGCCTTAGATGAAGATGGAGGCTTAATCCATCTTTGGATGGGAACAAGGCCCACCTGCCACCTCCTGTTTGCAATAAGGGAGAGTCCATAGGCCCAGGTCATCAGGAGCTTAAAATACAAGATCAATGGCTTATCCAGGGATGTCCAGTGGATAAAAGCAGCCCAGCACCCACTTCCTTAACTCCATCCTATACTCTTTCTATTCTCTTGTGACCATGGAGGACGGCCCACCAGTGGGTCTTTCTAGATCCTTCTATAAGCAATGAATACTGAGCAAGTATGCAGTGCCCATGGAGTGAAGCACACTGGAGTAAGGTTCACGGTGGTACCCATGCACTTTTTCCCAGCCTTGCATGGTTCTTAGTTAAGTAGCACATATTTGAGACTTGTTTCAGCTATTTAATGATATCTGAAATTGGGTGATTTTTATCTAGGGTTCAGCAGGTGTTTAATTCCTTCTGCTCCTCCCAAAATTATGTGGCATCTGGCCTCCTTGCTCTGGCAAATGGCCCCTAGACAATCCATGATTGTGTGTGTGTGTGTGTGTGTGTGTGTGTGTGTGTGTTCGAGGTGACATCTCTAGGCACAGTTCAGGGATCACCTCATGTGACCCAAGTCTGTGATGGAGAAATGATAAGGATGGTAAGTTCACCATGTCAGGAAGGGCCACTGAGACATCCAGAGACTTGCACATAGGAAGCACATCACTTCTAGTGGCAGATCTAGGAATTTTTCCAAGTGAAGGACAGGGAGGCAAACTCCCCTTTATGAAGGTCTCAGCACGGTTGCTCAGAATAGTCCTTTAGTTATATATTAGTCTGGGAGAGACGTGGAACCCTACTGCCAGCCCTCCCATGGAGTAAGGTACTGCCAGCCCTCCCATGGAGTAGGCTGCTGGTTCTCTGAAACTAAGAAGGGAGAGCATACCCTTGTCTTTGTCCATTTTCTGATACTATAGCAGAATGTAAGAGACTGGGTAATTTGTAGACAATTGAAATTCATTTGGCTTAGAGTTCTGTAGGCTGGGAAGTCCAAGAACTTGGTGTGGTATCTGGCCTTTTTGCTGCATCATAACATGGTGGAGGAGCAAGTGAGCATGCCTGAGACAGACTGGACATCCGGCTACACTCCTCCCTTTTAAAACTAATGCACTAATTCATTCATGAGGGTTATGCCCCCATGACCTCATCACTCTTAAAGGCCCCAACTCTTGATACTCTCACATAGGGAGTTCCATTTTATGCAATTTGGGGAAACATATTCAGATCATAGCAAGCATACGACTAATTCCTACCCAGGAGTGGATGTTTTAAATAATTTAAAAACTTTTTTAAAAAAATAGGGCTGGGGATATAGCTCAGTTGGTAGAGTGTTTGCCTTGCATGCACAAGGCCCTGGGTTCAATCCCCAGCACCACAAAAAAAAAAGAAAAGAAAGAAAAAGAAAACAGATCGAAATAAGTTACCCTTTGTCTTTCCCTTGTATTCCAAGCAGACAAGAAGCAGAGGGCAGCTGCCCTTGGTTTATCCCTTCTCTCTCACCCACAGGCAGCGAGTCCAGCATGCACAGAACTGGAGACAGTGATGATGGACTGGCTTGGAAAGATGCTGCAGCTGCCAGAGGAGTTTTTGGCTGGAAAAGCTGGAGAAGGGGGAGGAGTGATCCAGGTAAGACAGGGTAAGGTGGGGAGGGCAGCTTGATGGGATTCATGGGTTCCACAATGGCCACAAATGTGGGTGGAAAAGGGGGCACGTGTGCAGCTTTCTGCTGTGTCCTCTTTATTTCTTCCAGAGAATAAACAAAGCTGAGCTCTGAGGAAAATCCAGGTCTTGGAGAAGGCAGGATCTGGATTTGGATTCCAAGCTGTCTGTCACTAGCTTTAGGCAGGACACTGACTTCCCCAGGCTCCCAGTCATGATTGGTAGCATAGTGGCTAATACATTGCATAGTGGAGCAGGTGCACAGAAATAGAAACAACCAAATTTATGTTGGTTTTTCCATTGCCTAGATCCCGGCCATGTAAGCTCCATCACATAGTCATTCCCAACAGATATATGTCCAGTGTTAATAATCCTTTAATTTTCATAACAGCACAATGAATTAGGGAGCCCTATTTTACAGAAGATGAAACTGAGGCACAGAACATCAGTTAACTTCCCTTTCGCTCCAGGTGGTAATTTATAGGCCATATCTTTGTGACACAGAGACTGTAATCTCACCACCACCACCACAGGACCCTGTTCCCACCTTAAGTGATAGTTGTGGCTGCATTTCAATGAAGATAAATGTCACTTATCTATGAACCAATTGTTCACCTAAAGATGCTGCTGTTTCTATGCATACATTTAATTCATTCTCTTCACTTAATATGTATCCTAATTAAACTAGGAGGCAATCTCCAGTACTGAGACTACTCAACAGGACTAAGGGTTTTAAACCCACATCTATTAGGTTTCTATTGCTGCCTAACACATTACCACCCGCATAACACATGTTAGTGAATTCAAACAAATTTATTATTATCTTACAGTTCTGCTACTCAGAAGTCTGACCTGGGTCTTATAGGGTAAAATCAAGGTTGACACTTTGGAGGTCCAAGGGAAGAATCCATTTCCTCACCTTTCCCATCTTTGAGAGACTTCTGGAAATCCTTGTCCCATGCCCACACCTCCATCTGCAAAGCCACTATGCTACTGCTCTCTAACCTTTCTTTCATGGTCACTTTTTCTTACCACAAATGAGAAAGTGGGTCAAAACACCCATGTGATTGGATTGGGTCCACTCAATAATCTAAGATAATCTCCCCAAGTCAAGGTTCTTAACTTAATCACATCAGCAAAGTCACTTTTCCCTGTGAGGCAAATAGTCACAGGTTTGGGGGACTGACACCTGAAATCTTTGGGGATGGGAGATACATTATCTCAGTAGCCAGTATGAGCTATGGGAGAACGTGTGTACATGTTCAAATTCAACAGATCTTTGATGGGTGCAGCCCTGTGAATTCTAATTCCTTCTGATGCAAAATGAGCAGGTCACACCAGTGATGGATGGTTTACTTCTCTGTGACCACCTGACCATGGACACACTCAAAACTGTTCCCTCTGTGAGCTCATCTCACCCCACACATTCTCTGGTTACCTCACTCTAGCACATATAAGTCATTCTGAATGGGAAGCTGATGAAAATGAAATATTAGCTATATTGTAAGCTTTGATAGGATGGTGTGAACCCCACTTTTAAATACAACAGTGACAACATTCTTGCAAATTCAAAATACCTCAGCTCCCCAAGACAGGTTTCTTCTTATCAGAGATAATGAGGCCACTCCCATACTCTCTGGTCAAGGTCAAAGAAAAGACACCATGTATGGGCTGGGGTTGTGGCTCAGTGATTCAGTACAGTGCTTGCCTAGCATATGTGAGGCACTGGGTTCGATTCTCAGCCCTGCATATATATCGATAAAATAAAGGTCCATTGACAACTAAAAAAATATTTTAAAAATAATAATAAAAGACATCATGTCACAGGTGCCCTTTGGTCTTGTGGGCAGGCTGCTGCTCCTGGGCCCCACAATGGCTGGTCAGTTTCATTTCCCCGGGGTGAAGTGCAGACAGGTTTCTCATTTCTGGTATTTGAGTCCTGATTCTCCATAGGATGCTGTTTGTCCTCCTTGTCAAAAAAGAGCAAACCTGAGTGTTCAGAGACAGAAAAAAAAGGCAGCTGCGATCAGGATGGAAGTGGTGCAGAGGAACTGCCCACAGGGGCCCTGGGTTTGGCTCTAGTTGACCCAATCCCAAGCTGGTCTCACCCTTCACAACAGGCTTGATGCTGGAGGCAGACTCACTTTTTATTGTATTCCCATACATTTTGCCAAGATCTACTTTTCCATTAGTTCATTCACTTGGGCCCCTTAGCATTTGGTAACTCCTACTAATCCAAGACTCAACTTACATTAGAAGATTTTTCTTCTAATGTATCTTAGTTAATGTTTTAAGTCACTTCTACTCTGTTTTTCACATGCTTCAATTTCTACATAGTGGAAAATGCCTCTTCCATAATTTCTGTCTTTAAATAATTTCCTTTGTTTTTGTCATTTTCTTCTGTATATTTTAGGGAGAATTAGAAAGGGGGAAATTAGACATTCATTGTAAAAATAAATGAATACAGTAACCATTTTGGGGCATGATTCCCCTCAGAGTTATTAGTGTTTTTTTAATACCTACATAGCTACACACACACACACACACACACACAAACATACATTTGCAACAAAATTGAGGTAATACAATACAAATATGCTTTCTGTATGATGTTCCATTTTATATTAATTGTGAGCGTTTTCCATTTTTAAAATATTCTCTAAGAACGTTTTTATGCATGATTTCCTATGATGTGACAAAATTTATATAACTAATACCTTATATATATTTATTTTAATTTTTATTCTTAAAAATAACATTTCAAATGATATCCTATAGGGTGGGGTATGATAGTCTTATTGGTTTCCTCTTGGAGGCTCCTAGTTGTAGTCCATGTGAAACATTCACGCCGTTCCCAAACTTAAAAGAGCACTACCCCAACAACAAGAGAACTTTTCTGGGCTATTGGATCCTGTTCTTGTTGTTGTTTATTTTTAATTTTTTTTGTGTGTGTGGTGTTGGCAATCGAACCCAGGGCCTTGCATATACTAGATAAGTGCTTTACCACTGAGTTACATCCCCAGCTCCTCAATGGATCTTATAATAAAAACACTTTTATGTTTATATCTTTTCCAGCACCCCAAGATAAGTCTTATGATTTGATACATCTCAAAGAAGTTAAAAATACCCCATAATCTGAAGTGTGTCTACTATAATAATAGCTACATTTATTGAACACCAGCTACAAACTTGGCTATGTTTTAGCTTATTTCTTATACTTTGTTATCACTTTTTATCCTCAAAATAGTTAGTGGATTGATTGCATTATCAAGAATCTTTTGCATAATTGAGGAAATTGAGGCCCAGAGTGGTAGTGTAGTATGCATGTTCCAAGAGCAAAAGCTATTTAAAGACAAAGCTATTACGGTGGATCCCTGATCATTTGTTAGGGCTAGTAACCAGAGGTGTACATGCTATCATGGGTTAAAATATCTTTTTATTAAAGATGATCCCATTTTTGAAGCAAAAAAAGAGGGGAGAGATCCTAACATGTGGTTAGGAATAGTCCTGGTATCTCAGCTCAGGCTTCAACACAATCCCTCTGTGCCCATCCCACTCAGTTTTGCTGGAAAAAAGCAGACTGCCAGACCCGTGTTTGTGGCAGGAAGCTTGCCTTTCCCAGATGACAAGGCTGATTGACTGTAATTTGCAAGACCCCAAAGAACACCGAGGCTTTGGGTAACAGCCGGTGAGCCAGCCTGCCGCATCGATTCCCTAAGAGCTATAATCACAGCTACTGGGCATCTGCACAGTGATGGGCTTCTGAGCCAAGTGGCAAAGCATCATTGTGAAGCTGAACAAATGTCACCTGGAAGAATGGTCTCCAAATTAGCTTAAAAGCGCTCATGGAAGAAAAGCTCCCAATTTCTTGCCCCGTATGGGGCGACACTTGAAAAAAAACAACAGAAGATGAAAAGGCAGTTCTGCTCATGACATCAGCAGCCCCAGCATCAGCTCTCGCCACCATTCCCTCCTGTATCCTGAGCAGGCTCACCATGGCAACCGTGGTCTACCGGAAGCAAAGCCATCAGGCACCCTCACTGCTCTCTTACCAAAGAACAGTCGCCCTCCCTACTCTTAACTCAGCAAAGCTCTGCTTCCAGCAAAAGACAAAGATCCACTTGCCTTCCTGCTCAAATCTGCCAAAACCTGCTGGTTGCACTGGACCTGTTGTGGTCTGGATGCCATACCAACAATTGGTTTCATTGAGTGTTGTTGTTGTTTTCATTTTTTTGTTACCTAAAGGAGGAGAATTTTTTCTCAGGACCTGGAAAGTGCCCCCCTCCCAGCCCATGATGAATCAGCATGGTGACTCAAAGCCTTTCATTAGATCAGAGAATGAACATTTGGAATCCAAAGCTTCAAGCAGCGTAGAATTTAGATAAGAAAGTTGCAATCATAGCTCAGTTTAAGGGAAACTGGTCTTCCTGGGCCAGCCGTTTCATCTTCCTCAGGTGCATTTCTTTCATATGTTCTAAAACCATGTTTAAAATAATTTCTCATCAAAATACAGCTTGAAGACCCATTTTAGATGTTGAATTAAGAGGATTCTCTTCTGTATATTTGAGCTCAAGCATTGGAGCTACAGAAACATGAATAAATGAATTTATCTTCAAATCTTATCCATCTCTCTAAGGGATATAACTTGGTTCAAAGAATAAGTAAAAGCAGTGGAATGGGAAAATCAAAATGGAAAAACAGGCTCCATGAAAGGAGGATAAAATGTTAATAAGAGATGTGGACATTTCTATGTAATTATTCCATTGTATTTTTCTCTGTATAACGCTGTAACTTTGTAAACCTCCTTCATAGTCAGAAAAAAAAAAAAACCAAAAAACTACCTTCTTTTATTTGTCATTTCTAATGTTAGTACTGGCCAGCGGGTGGTTGTCTTCTGGGACTGGCTGAAGAGGAAAGTGCACACAAATGCAGGGAGGCTGGAGCCATCCCTGAAAGGCCAGATGTGTGTCCACTGTTGACCATGCCACTCCCTAGCTACTGATTTGAGGGAAGTTGTGTAATGTCTCTGAGCATCAGTTTTCCCGTCTGTACGCGCCAACGTTTAAAAATGAGCTTTTGCAAATTAAATGGGATAACGTCATAGACACTGAATCCATATCATGCACCACTGTTAACTTCAAAGGAGAAATTTTGAATAGTTCTTTACTACTTTTTGCTAAAATAAGTTGTTGAAATTAGTTGTATTAGTTTGTCAGGGCTGCCTTAAAAAAAAAAAAAAACAGAAATTCATTGTCTCAGAGTTCTGGAGGCTGAAAGTCCAAGATCAAGGCATTAACAGGTTCTATTTCTGCTGAGGCCTCTCCTTGGCTTGCACCTGGCTGCCTCCTCGCAGTGTTCACGTGGTTTTTCCTGTGTATGTGTGCATGAATCTGGTGGCTAATTTCTTCCTCTTATTGAGATACCAGTCAATTTAGACTAGCATCCACACTAAAGACCCCCTTTTAACCTAGATCCTATTAAAGATCCTATTTCTAAATAGCTACATTTTGAGATATTGAGGTTTAGGGCTTCAACATATGAATTTGGGGGCAGGGTACAATTCAGCATGTAAATTCGGGATTAAAATAAGTACTATAAGGCCATCTCAGCGTATCAAGGAAAATGTACCTGTATTTTATATACAAATTGCTCTGTCTGAGAGTATATGAATACATAGGTGCCTTGGACCAGTCTCCTTTGCTGGAGATATGAACAGTATATCCCTGGCCAGGCTTGAGGTGCCCACAGGAGAATGCCTGCACAGCCAGTTTAACAATGCAATGTGTGGCACATGCTTAGTGTTTGCAACTGTTGGCTACTGCTGATACGGGGGATAGACAAAGCAATGCTAAACTCACTGTATGAACTAAAGAGGCCTCCACAGGTGTTAGATTGTGTTAGATTGTTCCTTTACAAAAAATAAAAATAAAAAAAGAGTGAGCTTTGCAATTTCAGGTTTATCTTTTAAGAAAACAATGGATAAAAAGTATGTCTTGCAACGGTTCAGACACTGATTCTTTGACTGCATTTTGAATTTCATTTGGACCTTTCTCCTGGATTTAGGGGAGTGCCAGTGAAGCCACCCTGGTTGCCCTGCTGGCTGCTAGGACAAAAGTGACCCGGCGGCTCCAGGCAGCATCTCCAGAGTTGTCGCAGGCCGCCATCATGGAAAAGCTGGTGGCCTACTTCTCTGATCAGGTGAGTAAGTGCATGTGTTGGGAGGTATTGGGCTATAGCCCCACAGACATTCAAGGTCTGAATCCAAACAAACGTTACTATCGTTTCAAATCCAAGAACAGTTCCTCACAGATCACTAGGACAGAGACTTATACTAATTCTCAGGTGGGAACTTGAGAGATCAAGTTGAAAAGAAAATGTATGTACTGAGAACTCCCCAATGCTGACTTGTTACCATATGTAGCAGCATGGACTTAGATTACACTCATCTGGCCCACCTTCAGAGCAGCATTGTGTAGTAATTGGATGTTAGACTCAACAACCTAATCGCAAATCCCAGTTCTGCGTTTTTAAGCTTTGTGATCTCAGGCAAATCACGTAAATTGTGAGAGCCTCTCTTTCCCTCCTATCAAACAGGGATAAAAGCATCCATCCTTGGTATAGCTGCTCAGCTCAGCTTGTGGCTGAGCATAAGGGGAAAGATTTAAAGAATTTTGTAAGGTTTAGAAAACTCTGCAAATAGAAATATCTAATCTGATTCCATTGGTCAACCCATTAGAAAATGGTAAACAACAGCAACAAAACAAAGCCCAGAATTATGGGGAAAGGAGCAAGTGGAAAGAGAATTGATCAGCATGAAGAGAATAACTCTATTAGAGAAACTATGATCAAGAGGGCATAAAAAGAATAAAAACTGTGCCACCTTCAAGAAATTAGATTGCACAGGGAATTGCCAACTTAGGTTTGTCAATATTTTTATTTTCAGTGAATTCCTTAAGCCACACATTTGAACTATAACCATTTTTTCTAGGAAGTACTTAGCCTGAAATAAATACAATACCCATATTTCAGACCTAATTAGGAGGATTATATCTTTGTATCCTAATTCCATCCATTAAGATTCTACTTACATATGAAGAAAATTGTTCATTTGTACTTAGGACTCCCTTGTTTCCCAGAAGACTTAAAAAAATTAACACATAGGCACTCAATAAGTATATACTGATATCCACTGCTATGAATGTTAGGGTTTAGCCTGTCCAGCAGGGCTTCTGTGAAGGAGCTTATCTCACCAGGAAGTGGCTGGGCGAGACAGAACTAGCATCATTCCAGATGCCCAGCAGCTCAGGATGCCAAGGACGCTATAGCATCTTTCTATGGATCTCTGTTAGGTTCCCCAGGAACTATACAGGGCTTGTGTCAATTTTTTTTTCTTTTCACTGTTTTTATTCTCATTTTCCATTTTGACATTTTGTAATTCTGTGTAAATTAAGTCACCATCACATTTTAAGTACGAGGTCAGCTGAATTAAGAAAACAGAACAAAGAAGCCAGAATGACAATGTTTTTAGAAGGAAATGGCAGTATTCATATCCATATTCATACTAACTTTAATTGAGTAGCTGAAAGGGGAGTTAGAACACAATGCAAACATGGTGGTTCATGGAGAATTCCCATCTCTATTCTGTGCTGCAGTATCTCATGGGTACATTCATCATTAAGATCTAAATTAGGAATGAAAGTAATAAAACAAATGAGAGATCTAAACTTTAGTTCAAATAAATGAAAAGCTGTGGGCTGAGATCTACTTTGTTCCCCGAGAAAAAGAAAGATACGAATGAGGATTATTATGAGTTTGGGGGACCCAATGATCACAAGTCAGCTGTAGGAATGCACTCTGTAGCAGCATATGTTGTTGTATCAACGCCCTCAGCAGAAAGTTCATGCTTGTGTGGAGGTACTGCTTGGACCAAGCTGGTGTACATCTTCTGCAAAAACTGTGCTAACTGTGAAGCAGGCATATAGTCATCTGTGGCCTTGTCTTCCCCGCTTTTTAAAAATTCACTTTAGTTTTACATAACTATACATAGTTATACAAGCATGAAATATAATTTGCTCTAATTCAGTATGCAGTAATTTCCCCTTCCTCATCCCACCTCTCTCCCCCTGCCTTCCCTTTCTCTATGCTACTGATCTTTCTGCTATTTATTTATAGTTTTGTTTTAAACTAGTGCCTTGTAGATATACATAAGGTGAGATTCATTGTGGTATATTCATATATGTACATAGGTAACTTAGGTCAGATTCACAGTTCTTCCCTTATTCATTCCTTCTCCCTACCCCCAACCCCTTTCTCTACTCCACTGATCTCTATTCTATTTGATTGACACTCCCCCTCCCCACCTAGCTTCTGCATATCAGAGAAACATTCAACCTTTGACCTTCTGGGTCTGGTTTATTTCACTCAGCATTGTGGTCTCTCCAGTTCCACCCATTTACCAGCAAATGGCATAATTGTGTTCTTATTTATGTCTGAGTCATATTTCATTATGTATATACAACACATTTTCTTTCTCCATTCATCTGTTGATGGATTCCTAGTTTGGTTCCATAGCTTGGCTAATGTGAACTGTGCTGCTATATACATTGATGTGTCTGTGTCCCTATAATATGCTGATTTTAGATCTCAGGAGTGGAATAGCTAGCTAGGTCATATGGTGGTTTCATTCCTAGTTTTTTGAGGAGTCTCTATACTGCTTTCCAGAGAGGTTGCACTAATTTTTAGTCCCACCAACAATGTATGAGTGCACTCTTTCTCCATGTCCTCCCTAACATTTATATTATTTGTATTCTTGATAATTGCCATTCTGACTGGAGTGAGATGAAATCTCAATATAATTTTTTTTTTTAATTTTTAAAGAGAGAGAGAGAGAATTTTAATATTTATTTTTTTAGTTTTCGGCGGACACAATATCTTTATTTGTATGTGGTGCTGAGGATCGAACCCTGGCCGCACGCATGCCAGGCGAGCACACTACTACCGCTTGAGCCACATCCCCAGCCCTCTCAATATACTTTTAATTTGCATTTCCCTGATTGCCAGAGATGTTGAAAATTTTTTTTTATATATTTACTGGCCATTTGTATTTCTTCTTTTTGAAATTTATTCACTGGGCTATTTGGTTTTTTGGTTCTAAGTTTTTTGAGTTCTTTATATTTTCTGGATATGAATATCCTATTTGAGGAGCAAGTGGCAAAGTTGTCTCATTCTGTGGGCCTCCTCTTCACACTCTTTGTTGTGCAGAAGCTTTTTAGTTTAATGCCATTGAATTTTTATTTTATTTCTTATGCTTTAGATGTTTTATTAAGGAAGTTGATGCCTGTGCCAATATGTTGGAGCGTTGACCTACATTTTCTTCTATCAATTGCAGAATTTCTGGTCTAATTTCTAGGTCTTTGATCCACTTTTGAGTTGGCTTTTGTGCAGGGTGAGAGATATGGATCCAGTTTTATTCTTCTACATATGGATATACTGTTTTCCTAGTACAATTTTTTTAAAGACTATCTTTTCTCAGAGTATATTTTTGGCACTTTAGTGTAGTATGAGATAACCATATTTATATGGGTTTTTCCCTGTGTCTTCTATTCTTTTCCATTAGTCTTCCTGTCTGTTTGGGGGCCAATACCATGTTGTTTTTGTTACTATAGCCCTGTAGTGTAATTTAAGGTATGGTATTATGATGCCTCCAGCATTGCTCTTCTTGCTCGGGATTACTTTGGTTATACTCTTTTATTCTTCCAACTGAATTTTAGAACTGTTTTTTCTAGTTCTGCAAAGAATGTCATTGGCATTTTGATGGAGGTTGCACTCAATCTGTATAATGCTTTTGGTAATATGTCCACTTTGACAATATTAATTTTGTCTATCCAAGAACATAGATGATGTTTTCATATTCTAAGGTGTTCTTCAATTTATTTCTTCAGTATTCTATAGTTTTCATTGTAGAGGTCTTTCACTTCTTTGTTAGATTAATTCCCAAGTACTTTACTTTTTGAGGTACAGTTTTCCTAATTTGTTTTTCACCAGATTCACTGGAATATAGGAAAATAATTGATTTTTGTATGTTGATCTTGTATCCTGCTACTTTACTAAATTGTTATCAGCTCTAGAAATTTTCTGCTGGAGTTTTTAAAAATATTCTAAATATAAGATTATGTCATCAGCAAGAAGAAAATTTGACCTCATCTTTTCCTATGTGTGTTCATTTAATTTCCTTCTTTTGCATGATGGCTCTGGCTAGAGTTTCAAGGACTCTGTTAAGTAGGAGATGTGAGAGTGTATACCCTTGTCTTGTTCCTATATTTAGAGGAAATATTTTCTGGTTTTTCTCCATCTGGTAAGAAGTTGGCCTTGGGTTTGTCATATATAGCCTTTACAATGTTGAGGTAAGTTAATTTTATCCCTAGTTTCTCTAGTGTTTTAAATATAAATGGATGCTAGACTTTGTCAAATGCTTTTTCTGAATCTTTGAGATAACCATGTGATTATTGTCCTTAACTTCATTTATGTGATGAATTACATTTATTGATTTTCTCATGTTGAACCAACCATGAAAACCCCAGTGATGAAATCCACTTGACCATGGTGCACTGTCTTTTCAATGTGTTTTTGTATGTGGTTTACCAATATTAATAAGAATTTTTGCATCTATGTTCAAAGCATATTAGCCTGTAGTTTTCTTTCCTCAATGCATCTTTGTTTGGTTTTGGTATCAGGATGACACTGGCTACATAAAATGAATTTGGCAGTTTTCTCTCCTTTTCTGTTTCATGGAATAATTTGAGAAGGATTGGTATTAGTTCTTCTTTAAAGATTATGTAGAACTTGGCTGAGAATTTGTTGGGTTCTGGGCTTTTCTTTGTTGGAAAACTTTTAAAAGCTGTCTCAATTTCATTACATAATATTGGTCTGCTTAAGTTTTCTATATTCTCATGGTACAATTTGGGTAGGTCATGTGTCTGTGTCTCTAGGAATTTGTCAATACTTCCAGATTTTTCTAGCTTATTGGAGTATAATTTTTCAAAATAATTTTTAATGATTCTCTGGATTTCAGGTGATATTTCCCTTTTTATATAATTTTGTTAATTTGAGTCTTCTCTTTCTTTTGGTTAGTTAAGTCTATCAATCTTGTTTATCCTTTCAAAAAAGTCAACATTTTGTTTCATTGATCCTGTATAATTTTTTTATTCTTAATTTTATTGATTTCAGCTCTGATTGTAATTATTTTTTATCTTCTACCAATTTGGGTGATAGTTTGTTATTTTCTAGGACCTTGAGGTATAACTAGATTATTCATTTGGTATCTTTCTATTTTTTTAATGTAGAAACTCAGTGCTATAAACTTCCCTTTTAGAACTGTTTTCACACTGTCCCAGAGATTTTGATATGTTGTATCACTATTTTTTAAGAATTTTTTTCTATAATATCTTATGATACCCATTTCTTATATGTCCACCATTTACTGAGGGACTACTCACTGGAGTGAGGACCTAGAGAAGTGAAGTCAAGTAGGGAGAGGAGAAAACAAGGATATGGTCTCTGGGAAACTCTAGATCAGCCTTGTGCATAGGAAATGCTATAGAGTGTGAACTGTTCCCTTTTTGGGCACAGAACTGAACTGTTCCCTCCCTGGTCAAGTGCCAACTTTTTGTGCGTTGTACAGTTTGTCCTGCAGTGGGTTTGTGGCAAGCTCACCCTGTGAGGAGAGGTGGCTCTCCAAAAGAGGGGACAGCTGATCAGCCAACATCCACTGCAGCTTGGCATGCACAGCTTTGTCAAGGGGACCCTGGAGCATCACACAGGAGGGAGGAGCACATGCAAAGAACTCTCTCTTAGGGACAACTTAAACTCCTGTTGTCATACTCCTCTCCACTGCCCACACATCCTTCTGTGACAGCCTGCCTCCCATTGTCTCCTCCTGAGTTTAGTCTGCATTGCAGGCCAGCACACACCCCAGAAAGCTTGGGGTCAAGGTTTTGTCATAAGTTAATAAATTTATCACCTCCCTCAGCCTCTAAAGGGTAGAATGATGCACAAAGATTATGAAAAGTACAACTTCCTAATGTGTCGCAAGTTTCACAGGTGATTTTTCAAGCCTAGTAAAAGAAGAAGAATCTTAGTTTAATTTTTCTATGCAAGAAACCTGCCTGACACACCTTGTTGTTGTTGATCACAACTATACTTTGAAGTGGGTATTTTCTGTTTCTCATTGTTTCCACAAGATCACAGAGGGTCACTGTGCAGAGTAACCTGGCAAGGGTCCCACAAGAAAGGTCTGAAGCTGGGAGCCCCAGGGGCTCAGAAGCTGAACATTATCTTCTGGAGCTCCTCTGCTAGAAGAGATGTTCAAAGAACAGCCAGGGAGCAGCAGGCCCCACAAAGGATCAAAGCTAGAGACAATGGGTGCTTCAGGGCAGAAGTGGCAGCTTCAGTAAGAATCCACTTTCCTGGGAGTCTCTGAGAAGGGTGGACCCACCATCCAGTGAAGTGCCACATCATTTGCCATTCATCTCAGAAGATTCCATGTCCATGGATTCAACAACCACAGATCAAAAATATTTTTTAAAAATTGTGTCTGGATTGAACATTTATGGACATTTTTTCTTGTTATTATTCCCTAAATGATACAGTATGACAACTACTTATATAGCATACCATTTGTATTGCATTAGGTATTATAAGTAATCCAGAGATGATTTAAAATATATGGGAAGATATAAATTGATCATAGGCAGATACTATACCATTGCCATTTTATATAAGGACTTGGGCTTCTGTGGATTTTTGTATCCACAGAAGCCCTGGAACCAGTTTCTCATGGATGCCAATGAATGACTGTAGCATCTATTGACTGAGCTTAGCCACCAAGCTGCGAAAGTCTCCACAGGGAAAGGCAGGGTTTGAATCTGAACCCAAGATTTCTAAGTCCACCCATGAGCATGCTTTCCAGGATCTCACTGCTAACTCTTGAGTTCAAACAAATGAATGAACTCATCACTTTATGGTTCTAAGTGCTTAATTAATTATATTTGTGGTTTAGATCTGAGGTGTCCTCTGAAACCTCACATGAGAGACAATGCAAGAACATTCAGAGGTGAAATGATTAGATTATGAGAGGTATAACCTAATTGGTGAGGTAATCTACTGATAAGAATCAACTGGGTGGTAACTATAGGCAGGTAAGTTGTGACTAGAGGAAGTAGGTCACTGGGGTGTGACTTTGGAGTTTATCTTTTGTCCTTGTGAGTGGAGCTCTCTCTCTTCTTCTTTATCACCACATCCTGAGCTGCTTCCCTCTGCCATGCTTTTGCTCCATGATGTTCTGCCTCACCTACCTTAGGTTCAGAGCTATGGCGTCAGCCAACCATGAACTGAACCTCTGAAACCATGAACCAAAATAATCTTCTTCTACTTTCATTTGTTCTTGTCAGGTATTTTGGTCACAGCAAAGAAAAAAAAAGTACTAACTAAAACAAAACTTAAAGAGCAAGGTTCCACATAAATAGAATAACAACTCCAGGAAAAAGAGGTGCCGCTGTGGTGTCAGGTGTCAGGTACCCACTGCAGAACCAGGAACTTAGCCTGTGTGAGCAAACCTGCACCGATCTAACTCTAATCTTTCTTTCTAGGCACACTCCTCTGTGGAAAGAGCTGGATTAATTGGTGGAGTGCAAATGAAAGCAATCCCTTCTGATGGCAAATTTGCCATGCGTGCTTCTGCCCTGCAGGAGGCCCTGGAACAAGACAAGGCAGCTGGCCTGATCCCATTCTTTGTAAGTCTATCAGTACATGTTGCAGATGGTACCATGGGAGCCTCTCCCCCGCTGCCTAGGGCGTGTGTGTGTGTGTGGGGGGGGGGGGGGTGTATGCAGTGTATATGCCAGGGTCACTTTCTAGGCTGCTGTGATAGTCACAGGCCAGGCATGAATTTTGTTATCTCCTTGAGGAAAGCTAGAAACTCCACTTGTTTTTTTTTTTTTTTTTTTTTTTCTTTCCACATGCTTTAATCTCAAAAACAAGTTACTACAACATCCCAATTTGGAGGATTGTACTAAGCCAAGGAGTATAGTTTCTGTTTGTTGTCCAAAGGGACAGCTATCCCTTAGCAGCCCTTTGTGCCATGGTAGATGCTCTAAGCAGTATGATGAGTGAACCAAACTGAAAATGCAAAACAGGCTTTGCTTCGTACATTAGTGGTTCAGAGTAGTTAATAAGATGTGTCATCTGTAAAAGGTTTGTTGCAAGCAGGCAGTGACTAATCCCAGATAAAATATCTAATTAACCAAATGACAGGCTGGTTCTCTTGCTCCCAGATATGCATTTTCCAATGGGGAAGAGTTACTTAGTATTGAAACTGAATTGTGGGAATTGTCACATTCCTGGCATGGTCCCAGCAGTATGTCATACATGGGACTGATACATCTTGTGTGATGCAATCAAAATGTCATGAGTATGGCCATACTTGGGCATTCAACCGGGCCACACATTAGAGTCACCTGGTAAGTTACTAAAAAGTCTAATGTCCAGGAATTCCCCCTGACTGATCTTGCCAGAATCTCTAGGGATGGAAGCAGGCATTGGAAAAATGTTTACAACATTAAGATTCTGATGAGCATATAGGTTTTAGAAACATGCTCATGGGGATACTCCTCAGTGTCAGGATACTCCTCATTTCTTAATCATTAGAGCAATCTACGTTGGATAGATGTTTTATGGGCCACACATTAATAACATCCACCACTTTTCTTTTGAGAATTAATCTTTTTAAATGCTTTCCTTTCTATGAAACATTTTTTGCCAATTAAAATCAATAATCATTTGGTGAATATCTAACACACGTCTGTACTGAGGAAGTCACAGAAGGTATGATTTTAATATAAGTCTATCCTAATCTAAGGAGCTCACAGGAGAATCGGGAGCATAAACACATGTTTATAGTAGAAGAATTGGCAAGTTTCAAAGGTAGCCCAGAGAATGAAATGACAATCAAGTGAGTTTGAAGGAGACAGAAATCAAACTGTGGGTACAGATTCAACTTCCACCTTGCCCTAGACATCTTTCTCAGTCCCCTTAACCCTGCTTGATTTTTCCCCATTGCATGCATCACTCCCTGCAATACCCATTTATTTACTGCCTTCTTCCCAACAGAATGTACACAAAGGGAGGGTTCATTTTGATCACTACTTTATCTCCACTGCAGGAATAGTACAGAACTGATACCAGGAGAAATTCAATTAATACAGTTGTTCCTTGGTATACACAGGACATCTGCTCTAGGACCCATCACAGATACCCAAACTCTTGGATGCTCGAGTCCCTTATATAAAATGACATAGTATTTGCATATAACCCATATACATCCTCCCACATACTATTTTTTAAAAAAAAAAACATTTATTTTTTAGTTATAGGTAGACACAATACCTTTATTCCATTTTTATATGGTGCTGAGTATGGAACCCAGCAGCCCATGCATGCTAGGCTCTCCCTCTGAGCCACAACCCCAGCTCCATCCTTCCACATACTTTAAATCATCAGTAGATTACTTGTCCTACCTAATGGAAATGATGTAAATAGTTTTTTAGGGAACTATGACAAGAAAAGAAAGTGTGTGTTCAGTACATTAAAAAAACAAAAACACAACAACAAAAACACATTTTAGAACCATGTTTGGTTGAATCCATGATTGTGGAATCCATGGATATGGAGGGTCAACTCTAGTTGTCAAATATAGAAAGATTTGAAAAGATCATCTTTAAAAATCCCAATTATAAACCGGGCACAGTGGTGCATGCCTGTAATCCCAGCCACTCAGGAGGCTGAAGGAGGAGGATTGCAAGTTCAAAGTCAGCCTCAGCAATAAGCAAGGGGCTAAGCAACTCACTGAGTTGCTTATTAGTGAGTTGCCTCGAAATAAAATACAAAACAGGACTGGGGATGTGGCTTAGTGGTCAAGTGCCCTGAGTTCAATCCCTCATACTCCACTCCCCCAAAATCCCAATTATAGCTGGGTGTGGTGACGCATACCTGTAATCCCAGTAGCTTGGGAGGCTGAGACAGAAGAATCCCAAGTTCAAAGCCAGCCTCAGCAACAGCGAGGCACTAAGTGACTCAGTGAGACCCTGTCACTAAATAAAATACAAAAAAAAAAAAGGGCTGGGGATGTGGCTCAGTGGTTGAGTGCTCCTGAATTCAACACCTGATACCAAAAATAAATAAATCCCAATTACAAGTTTAGTGCACTTTTGAAGGATTTTATTTAAATGAAGTAAAATATTTTTAAACCTGTAGTGTCAATTTTAAGTCACTGAAATTTTATATCTAGGGAAAATATATATATTGAAACATACTCCTTCATATTTGAAGAATGAAAGCAATGGAGAATACATCACATAAATGATGAAAATATTTTATAAAAATTACAAAGCTCATAACTAATAGTAAAAGGCAAATGTGGGTAGGAACTACTGATAGGACATATTATAAAGTAAATCTTAAAAAAAAAGAAGGCTTACATATCAATAAGTAAGGAAGGAACATTTCAATGATAAACATGCAAAATATATATAAGAAATCAATTCCACATTCAAACACACACACACACACACACACAAAATATAGACACAAAACCATTCTGATCATGCAATAATCAAAGAAATGCAAATTAATTAGTGGTTACAGAGGTGTCAGTTTCTTTTATATCTCTAAACTTTACACAAATTCTAAAGGTCAGTGATGGGGTATATGCAGATTTAGAATCGTCATCTTCTCCAGAGAAATGACTATCTATTCTTAGGAAAGACTAACATCTAACTATCTGGATGGATATACATGTTCATTTCTCTGGGATGAATGCCCAAGATTGTGCAATTAAGGATCATTTTGTAGTTATGTGTTTTAAAGAAACTGATAAAATCTTTACTGGAATGGCTGTACTATTTCACATTTCTTCTAGCAGTGCCTAAAACAATCAAGTGTATTTTTTGTTTTCATTTTCACCCATGTTTGGTATTATCATTATATTTTTTCATCTTACCTGAATTAATAGGTGTATAGTAATATCTCATCACACTCATAATTTTCATTTTCCTAAAGACTAATGAAGTTGAACATTTTTTTCATCTGCTTATTAACCATTAACACATCCTTTTTTTAGTAAAACATAAATCTATGTCTTTGTCCACATTCCAATTGGATGATGGATTGATTTTTTAAATTAACAGATTTATGTTAGAACAGTAAGCATAATTAAAGAGAGTTCCAGCACTTACTTAAATGTTTTACAAATACTTCCTCTCAATCTGTGGCTTTTGGTTTCATTTTCCGAGCAATGGTCTTTTGCCAGTCAAAAATTTTCAATTTCACTGATGTTCAGTTTATCAAATTCTTTCATGGATTATGCCTTTATTGTTACATCTAAAAACTTACTGCTGAACCCAAGATCATCTAGATTTTCTCCTGTGCTATCTTATAGACATTTTGCATTCTATAATTTAAGTCTACTATGTATTTTCAGTTAATTTTTGTGAAAGGTGTAAAGTCTGTGTCTAGATTCTTTTCTCTTTTTTCTGCATTGGGATGTCTAGCTGTTCCAGCATCTGTTGAAAGGCTACTCTTCCTCCACTAAATTGCTTTTGCTCTTTGTCAAATGTTAGTTGACCTCATGTATAGATCTAATTCTTTTCCATCAATAAGTTTATCTCCTTTCCCAAGATCACACTGTTTTGATTATTTAAGGTTTATACTAAAGTTGGGTAAGGTCAGATATGACCTCAGTCATTAGTCAATATTATGTTCAATATTATGTTCTTTTTAGTCTTTTGAATTTTTATATAAAATTTAGAATCAATTTGCCAATGTGTACCACATAACTCACTGTATTATTAAATATGATTGCAATGAATCTATAGATCTAGTTGGAAGAGCTGACATCTTCATGATATTGAGACTTCCTGTCCATGTACATAGAATCTTTCTGTATTTATTTATCTCTTTTAAAAAGTAGTTGCATCAGAGTTTGTAGTTTTCTTCATGATTATTGTATACATATTTTGGTAGATTTATATGTATTCCTTTTTCCCCTTTCTGTGCTAAATGTAAAGGCAATTATGGTTTTTTAACTTCAAATTCTATTTTTTTTAATTTTTATTGTTGGTTGTTCAAAACATTACATAGTTCTTGATATATCATATTTCACACTTTGATTCAAGTGGGTTATGAACTCCCATTTTTACCCCGTATACAGATTGCAGAATCACATCAGTTACACATCCATTGATTTACATATTGCCATACTAGTGTCTGTTGTATTCTGCTGCCTTTCCTATCCTCTACTATCCCCCCTCCCCTCCCCTCCCCTCCCCTCTTCTCTCTCTACCCCCTCTACTATAATTCATTTCTCCCCCTTGTATTTTTTTTCCCTTTCCCCTCACTTCCTCTTGTATGTAATTTTGTATAACCCTGAGGGTCTCCTTCCATTTCCATGCAATTTCCCTTCTCTCTCCCTTTCCCTCCCACCTCTCATCCCTGTTTAATGTTAATCTTCTTCTCATGCTCTTCGTCCCTACTCTGTTCTTAGTTACTCTCCTTATATCAAAGAAGACATTTGGTATTTGTTTTTTAGGGATTGGCTAGCTTCACTTAGCATAATCTGCTCTAATGCCATCCATTTCCCTGCAAATTCTATGATTTTGTCATTTTTTAATGCAGACTAATACTCCATTGTGTATAAATGCCACATTTTTTTTTTATCCATTCGTCTATTGAAGGGCAT